CTAGGAAACAAAGAATGCATTTACATATCATCAGAAATCTGCTTTTGTTGTAATTTGTTTATCGTAGTTTAACCATAAAGTAATCCGACTGGTAAATCAGTTCCAACAACAAATAGCCGGCTGCCATGTTTGTTTTCATTCGTTTGTTCACTTCTATTTTAGCTGAGAAATCGTCTTCAAAATCACGTTTCTATAAAAAGAATTCGATAATTAATAAGCGAAATAGTTCTAAACAGTAGTATTTCCTCTCAAACGTGGGATTGTGATGTTTTAGGGTGCAAAAAAACTTGCGGTAAATCACTTACCTCTAGAGCGTGGTCTTGACGTACAAACGTGAACCTCAAACCGCAAACCTGACGGTAAGGCTCTGGTCACGTGACTTCTTGACGTTCGCGGTTCGCGGGAAATGCCGAAAAACCTCAATCTTAAGGTCTCTATTGCTTAGGGGTCACACCGCCGCATTTAATGTGAGACCACAACGAGCAGCAGTCGCATATGGTTACACGGTGATTTCTAGCAATCGTCCGATCACACTCCTTGCATTTTTTACAAGAACTGTCATGGCGGAGGCTGATTTACAAGTCGAGTTACATTGTCTGTGAGGTCCTGGATGATGATGAATGTCTCCACTTCTAACCACAGAAGGAGCAACCGGGTTGAAGGAAGCCGTACAGTTCGAATAGTACGCCACTCTTGACTTCTGAAACTTCTCGTGAGGTGAGGTGACAAAATGGCCGCCGATCCGTGACATATGCCTTGGCGAAATTAGATTGAAATCGACCAAGTATGAGTTGAAATACTTGAAAAATTTATCCCCGTAATGCACTTGAGCATTCTTCGAGAGCTTGAGAGAGTATAAGTTGACAGAGAATAAAGCTAACAGCGAAAAGCTTAATAAAATTACGGACAAGCTCGAAACACGTCTGACCGCCATAACCACCGCTGACACGATGACGTGTCACTACTAGGGTGTTCAGTTCATCGTAGTTTAGAGACGTCCTTCCTACTGTTTTCTTGATGGATCTTTCGACGCTTTGGATCAGTCTCTTCCAGAAGCCTCCCCACCATGGGGCCTTCTCTACGACGACCTTCCATGTTACTCGCTTGTTGAAGAGATAGTGTTGAACTTCTTGTGACTAGACTTTTTCACGATCTCACTGTTCCTTCTTTCGACCTCTGGATTAGGCACTTTCTCAATAATTCCTGATGTGAGTTGTTCCTGAATGATGTCGTCGTATTCTTTCAAAACATCTGGCGTTTTACTCAGCTTGTGGTGCATTGATTTCAACCGGTTGTAGCACAAGTTCAAATTGTTCGGGATTGGCAAACAATCGTTCTTTCGTGAGAGTCTCCCTCTCTCTCTCTCTCTCCGTTGTGTTTTACGTAGAGAAATTCTTCTTTTGGTAGGGAAACATCTTTTATTTCGTGGATTCCAATAGCCTCGATTTGCCAGAACCTTTCTAGGTTGTTCATCAGTTCTTCATTTTCGTGCGAAACGAAAGAGCAATCTCTTGAAGTAATCAAGCTTGGGGTAACAGTATCCGATGTTACGGAGTCACGCAACGGGCCAGATAAAAGCCATCCAAACTTGCTTAAAACTGTTGTTGGCCCAGAATCTCCTTTCAGGGTTTTTTCCACTGACAATTTCCCAATAATAGTAACAGCCAATGTGAATATCAGTTGTTCCGTAATTGTCGTTTAGACTCTCGGCTAATTGTAGATCCTCCAAATGAGGATAGTCAACTTTAACCTTCAACGGCAATGGAGAACAAATTATAGGGTAATTTAATGCAGTTATCTCGACTTCTTTGTCGTTATGTTTTTCAGTCAGAGTTTAAAAACCTCACAGCTTTGCTTTTGAAATGTGCTGCCACCAAATATGTTCAAATAAAGCGTCTCAGTTTTGATTGGGTTCAAATTCAATCGTGACTTTAAATTACTTGAATGAAAGTGATCCTCACAGTGATGTGCACTACTTAGGCAGTAGTGAAAATAAGGCCTGAAAAAAATTCAGGCCTGTACGGGATTTGAACCCATGACCTCTGCGATACCGGTGCAGCGCTCTACCAACTGAGCTAACAAGCCAACTGGGAGCTGGTCATGATGGTGGTTCTAAATAAACCCGTGAAGTGATGAATATACGGTTAAGAATATATGAAAGTCATATATTTGAACTGCGGATAAAGACATGAATGAAAGTGATCCTCGCAGTGATGTGCACTACTTAGGCAGTAGTGAAAATAAGGCCTGCACATCACTGCGAGGACATGAATGAAAGTGATCTCATATTCTCATCTTCATGAATAAAATTCTGCAGCTCTTCAATTTTGTTATCCTTCTGAGCAATCAAAACCTCTCGCTTTGGGCCAAGTGAGGTTTCTATTTGTTTTAGGAGTGATGGATTCAACCTTTATTATTTGTACCCTTTTTTTTTTTACTATACAAGGGATATGTCTTCTTGCCTTGATCAAACATCTTTACCTGCAACCTTCCTGTTTTACTATAAGAAACCTCAAGTTCCGAAGCTTTCGTCTCAGGATAAATTTCATACCATGGGACCTGGCACTGCCGTATTTTCCCAGGCTTTTTAGAGGTACCAGCTTTAAGATGGCAAACAGTCAGGGCAAACACGAATCAAAGCATGTTCTTTACGAAGAAATACTACCCGATTTTAACCCGGAGTGTTACGGTATAATCTAACCAACAGAAAAACACTACAATCCCACAAACTCAACTACTTTATTAAACAGCGAGTAATGTTCTTAACAAGGAGTGACTCCTAAAGCAGTTAAACACTTATCATTGATAAACTTAATTAAGCCTTACACAGTCTATATCCTAGCTCACCACTAACGCAATTTCACTGCTGTCAATACAATACAATACAAAGACTTTATTTAAACACGATAATTGTTAAAGCGACTACACGCTTGTGGGGTCGTGCGTAAAATGGAATAAAATGAAATGTAGTAAAATACAATAATTAAAGTAGCCTATCAAAATTAGAAGATCTAAAAATATTTAAAATTGGGGTCCTTAAAATTCACTGTCTGTGGAGAAATGGAATTAAAGTTCAAATTTAAAAGTGCCTTTGATTTGTAGGCTAACGAGGAGAGCTACTTAATGGTTATATTTCTTAAATTTGATTCTTGGAGAAGTGTGTTAAAAACGATAGGTCCTCTTCTGGAAAAACTGTTTTTCATGTAATATGTATTGAATTTTGGTACTTTTATGTTGGCATTACTTCTTAGATTTTTCTTAGTATTCACGTCAACTTCTTCGGTGGTATCTAAGATGGATATAGGTAAAGTCTTCTTATCTATTTTGAACATCAGTTTAGCTAAATTAACTTTATATGTGGTTTCAATAGAAGACCATCGAGCTTTGCTTAGTACGTCAGACTTAGGCATATCCCATGGCCAGTTAAAAATTAATTTTGCCGCTCTACAGTGTAAAGACTCTAATGCAATTAGGCCCTCCTTATTAGTAAGGCCGCCCCAGACGGTGATACCATATATAATTGATGGGTAGATTACTTTAAAGTATAAGTCCAGTAGCATGGGTCTTGGTAAGAACAAGCTGCGCTTCAGCATGTTAAGCTTATTTGCAAAGCTGATCTTTAGTGCTTTGACATGGTAGTCCCAGTTAAGTCTATTATCAATATAGACTCCAAGCAGCCTGGTGTGTTTAACCCATCTTATACAATGATTCATCAGTATTAATGACTGTAGTGGACTAGTGAAGTTTCCTCGATGAATTAGCATGCCTTCGCATTTCTTGGGGTGAGGCAATAGTTGATTTCTTAAGCACCATAGCTCTAGTTCCTTGAGAGCAGCATTCAGTTCGGCAATAACAATGTCTACGGTGTCTCCGATACAGAACAGGGTGGTATCGTCTGCGTACATAAAAACAGTTGCATTTGTTATATTATCAGGTAGATCATTTGTGTAAAAGTGCGAACAAGGTTGGACCGAGGACTGATCCCTGAGGAACGCCTGTATTAATGCGAGCAAAATCAGAGGCTGCGCCGTCAATGACTGTGAACTGTCGCCTCCCCTTTAAGTAGCTGTGAAGCCAAGCAGCCAGGTTGCCCTTGATCCCAAAGTCAATCTCGAGTTTATGCAGCAATATTTTATGCGATACACAGTCAAAGGCCTTTTGAAAATCGACAAAAACCACGCCGACAACTTTACTGTTATCAACCGCTTGTCTCCATTGTTCTGTCAGTTTTATAAGCATTAATTCAGTAGAAAAGCCTTTCCTATAAGCCCATTGGTTTTCAGTGACTAAACTGTGCTCATGGAATGTATGGTTGACGATTCTCTGAGAGACCGTTGATTCAAGGATCTTGCTGGGTATACTGAGAATAGAAATTGGCCGATAGTTGCTCATGTCGCTCTCATCGTCCTTTTTGTGGATAGGGCTCAGCCTAGCCACTTTCCATTGTTCAAACACGTAGCCAGATCTTAGACTTTCACAATAAATATGGTATAATGGATGGACCAACGCATTCCCGGCAGTTTTTAGAGTTCTAGAAGAAATCTGGTCGGGACCGGTAGCTTTATTCCATTTAAGATCTGATAAATACTTTTCAATTTCGGATTTTGATAAAATAACGTCTTTGATAACAGGAACTGACTTTAATGTTGTGGCAGCGTTGACTTTTGTGAATGAAAAGTTCCTTGTTAGATTAATTCCTATATTAGAAAAGAAAGAATTCATCAGATTTGATTTTTCTTTACTATCGACTGCCAGAGAACCGTCTTCCCTCTTCAAGGGTCCAATAGCCTTTCTGAGTTTTGGTGCAGTGGCATTGCGAAGAAGATTCCAATACTCCGCAGCGGTTTTTTTTTTCAAGTAGTTGGTTCTTGAAATGTTTAGTTTTCGCCCGACGTACGTCCGTGGTGATTTCATTACGTAATCTTTTGTATTCCTTCCATTTGACCGGATCTTTTGTGCGAGTGGCTACTTTGAATAATTTAAACCGTTTGTTCATCTTT